TTTTTAAATCCAGCGGGAGGGCCAACACGCAACCTGTGGCAACGGTTGTACGCATCACTTTTTAGAGCGCTCTGAGACCACCCCAAGTAATCCCTGAAGTCTAGGAGAGCAACTAATGAAGTAGTACTCCTTCGGAAGCCCTCGCAAGGGTCACCTGGCATGGGCTGAGAGTGGCGTGCTCTCAGCCGCCACCACGTGTCGTGCTCTAGATGCTTCCTTTGTTTTTTCCGCACGCGTTTTCAGCTTTTAGATGATTTTTTTGGTTTTTTGGCTTTCTCGTTTCTCATCTGTTTCTCTTAGGTTTTGGACAAAAATAATTCAAAATAAAAAAATAGACGAAAAAACGTGTTTTATTTTTTCCTTCCGTGAGAGGCATGGATTTGCTTCCTCGTGCCTCTCGAAAATGAAAGAATACATTCTTTTGCTTCCATGAGAGGCACAATCATGTCTCTCAAAAATGGAAAAACAAGTTTTTTTCCTTCTGTGAGAGGCACGGATTTGCTTTCACGAGAGGAACAGTTGTGCTTCTCAAAAACGAAAAAACACATCTTTTTTCTTTTCTCCTTCCATGAGAAGCATACATTTACTTCTCGTGGAGGCCAGTTTTGGTTCCGCAAGAGGCACAGTCGTGCCTCTTTCGGAAAGGGAAAAAAGTGCTCTCGGTTTGATTTTTTCGTCTGGTTTATTTATGAAAGAAAAGTTTATCAAAACCTATCAACATGAGGCCTAGTTTTGAAGATCTCGATGCGACGAATCCAACGATGAAAACGGTTCGATATTTGAGCGTACGGTTTAAAAGATAAAACTTTTTGAATAATCGGATCTACAAAAAAAGGAAAACTCCTATGATCGTCTACAACAATTCTGACCCGTAAGAGCATCTCTAGCAGACCTCGCATCCCGCCCCGACCCGCAAAATAACCGCCAAAATGCGGGGCGGGGCGGGAAAACCTGCTCGATCAGACACCGCATTCGCGGCCGACCCGTAAAAGTTTTTGCGGGGCGCGGCAAAAGATCTCCCCTGACCTCTAGATTCACGGGCTAAGAGGACGACCCGAGCTCAGCCCCTATCCGCAGCGAGATTTGGCGGGAGGGACATTTCCGCACGGCCGTTCCCGCTCCCCCACCCTCCGCCACCATTGGCCTGCCACCTCACGCTCCGGTGCATCTTTCCCGGCCTCCTTCGCCGCCATGGATGACTCCCTACTGTCCCCTGTCACCGTCGAGGTCGCGCCCGCTCAATCCCTCTGGCGGATCTCGTCGCCGGCCATGTTGGCCCCGCTGTCGCCCAAGGTACCGTCGCGCCTGCCCGCAAGCGGCAGGGAAACGTGGTCGTGGAGGGCGGGAATCCGGCTGCCCCCGCCGCGAAGGCCCGCGTTCCGGGTGCCAACGCCGCTTCGCGATCCCGGCCAACGGCGGAGAAGGTCGCCAAGGCCACCGGCATAAAGAGGAAGAGGATTCCGGCTACAAAGAAGTCGTCTCCTTCATCCACTCACTCCGCCCCGGAAAGAGGTTCCCCGGCGATGCCGCTCAACGGTGCTGCTCCCACCGCAAGCGAGGTGTTTGACGAAATGCCGGAAGGTATGCGTCTTTGGTCATGGCAATTTTCTTTGCTTTTGGCCATTTGCGATAGCTCGTGACTTGTTGTCGTTCACTATAGCGATGGTTCGAACATGCAACTGTCGAGTTCGTGAACTTGTTGGACACCAACGCAGTTGACATCGATTAAGCCCCGTTCGCCGCATTCGACTACAATGAAACGGAGGGCAGCGTGGATGATCATGGTGGTGAGGAAGAAGTGGAGGAGATCGATGAGGTAGCGTATGAGCAATCGCAAACAAAAATTGGGAAAAGCCAGAGACCGAAGAACTATGCGATCTTGGAAGATCAAATCCTGATCAGGGCATGGAGTGCGGTGTCTCTTGATGCATGCAAGGGTACTTCTCAAACCGCCAAGAGGTATTGGCAAAGGATCGAAGATCAATACTTCCGCATGATGGCAAAGTATCCCAATAGGACTCCACGCACATTTCAGTCGCTTCAAGGGCGTTGGGATGTGATCAAGCCTATGTGCATCCATTGGGAAGCTTGCTTGGAGCAAGTACGCAATGCACCTCCAAGTGGAACCGTGGAATCCGACTATGTGAGTTTGTTTTGCCCTTGTTCAAGTTGTGCACATCATATTGCATCATTTCACTTTGTTCAAATTATGTAGGACAGAATTGCCCAACATAGATACAAAGAATTGGAAGCTTCGGAAGGCAAATTCTTCAAACTAGAGCATTGTTGGGACTTGCTCAAAGAGTGCGAGAAGTGGAAGTTGATCGAAAAAGAATCCCCACCGAAGAGAGGTTCACTTACAAACATGGATGAAGAAGAGGATGATGATGGCCCAAGAAATTTGAACAAGCCCGATGGCGACAAGAAGACTAAGGAGAAGATGAAGAGAGAGCACGAAGCATCGAGCTTGAGGGAGAAGATTGATGCCATGATGCAATCAAATGAGTTAATGTTGTTGAAGTCGTTGAAGATCAAGAAAGAATTGGTCGAGAAGAAGGCAAGGGAGAAGCAAGAAAAGTGGCAATTGCTCAAGAAAGAGGGGCTGTGCAAAGCGGCCATTGAGGAGAGAAGAGCACGTGCCGCTGAAAACAAAGCCATGTCCAAGTTGCTCGCCGAAGAGAACAAGATCATGACAATGAGCCACAATGACATGGACGACCTCACCAAAGAATGACATGATATGGCAACGAGAGAAATCTTGAAGAGGAGAATGGTTCCATAGGCTAGTGCGTGTTACAGTGTCAGTGTCGGAGATGTTTTCTCTGCTCCATATGGTGCCAATGTCGATGATTTCGGTGCGGGAGTTGGAACAAGCGCCGGAGGTGGATTCGGTGGTGGCGATGAACTTCAAGATGGACTCGATGGCGCGGAGTGAATATCGACCAAGATGATGCCGGACGTGGCCAACACTTTTGCGTTTGTCCTACTAAACTAAAGCTTTTATTTGCGCGTAAACTGTGTTATGTTGTTTGAATTTGAACTTATTTGTCGGAACCGATGTCAAATTCAAGAATTGGGCGTCTTCGATTTGCAGGTTGACGCGGCGTTCCCAAACAGATCCCGCAAAAAGCCGATCCGCGAATATCCTTTTATACGGGTCCATTTGGGGGTCTGCCTTTGTGGCAGTCCGTGCCGACCCGCAAAGCCTTTTTTCGCGAACTGCAAACGTGTTTTACGGGTCTGTGGGATGCGGGGTCCGCTAGAGATGCTCTAAAAAGCCCAAATTCACCTAAAAATTGGAGTACACGGGCCCAATTTGGACAGCAAACCCCTGCACCTATAGCTGGCCAAATGAGCCGTTTTTTTCGGGCCGGCCCGTGAGCACGCCGGCACGGCTCGCCTTGGGCCAGGCACGACACGGGCTAAACGGGCCAGGCCCGGCACACGTCACGCCCTGGGCCATGCCTGGGCCTGGAGGCTGGACACGCGGGCCGGCACGGCACGGCCGATTATGTTTTTTTATTTTTTATATACCTATATATGGCCCAACATGTAAAAATAGGCTAAAAAACGCTCAGTGCGTCAAATAACAGGCTGAAAATGTGCAGCACACCATGCTAAACGGGCCAACGTGCCGGCCCGTTTACTAACTAGGCCGTGCCTGGGCCTGAGGGCGCAGCACACGGGCCGGCACGGCACGTCCCGTATAGTAATCGTGCCCTGGCGGGTCGTGCCGGGCCAGGCACGATTACGTGCCGGCCCGGCTCGTTCGGCCAGGTATACCTGCACCGGACACGAAAGAGGTCTAGTATTTGGCTAAAAAAAAAGAGGTCTAGTACCGGAATTCCTCTAGTACCATCCCAGACGAGGAGCAGAGCCACCGCAATCGAATCCCCTTCCTTCCTTCCGTCCCGCACGACGATGGAGCGCGTGAGAAGGGCTTCGCATGCCGGCTCCTGGTACACCAACAACGGTACCCCCTCCATCCTCCAGCTCCCACCCTGATCCCCCTACCCTTTTTTCAGTCTGCTGGATTCCGCCCGCCCCTCTCTTCCGGGGGAGAACGAGAGAGAGAGAGAGAAAGGTGGAATCTTTTCTGTGCGCTTGATCTGATTTCTCGGCCAGATTAGGGGGGTTTGGTGGGGCTTATCGGTGTCGGCAGAATTTCATACTAGAGTAGCGTTTATGGATTGGATTGGATCCGTGCGCCCTGTTAAGGTGGGGAAAGTGTGCGCTGTTGACTTCATTACCTGTAGCGTTCATGGTTTCTCCATCCTTGGTACCAAGATGGCGCAGCAGAGTGGCAGATTCTGCCGTAAATGCAGTTGTTTCTGATCAGATTCACGGGGTTCAGGTGGACTGTGTAGTTTGCAGAATCCAACTGCAAACATAGGAGCCAGCTGCAGTGTGCTCTGTAGGTGGTTGGATCTGAAGAACAATCTGCTGAGTGTGAATTTTGTGTGTGCTGCATATTCAAACTGTACTGCCATGACATCTTTTAGGACACCGCTGGCTTCGTCGTGTTGATTCTGTCCAAATGTGGACATACTTGACATATTTGATTCAGCTGGAACAGTTTGCGTTTTGTTGTAGTAAGGCGTGACGTTTTGCCGGTAATTCAGAAACATTTACTTTGTTTTGAGTTGAATCATCAGCTTCCAAACTTTAGATTTACTTCCAACCATTTTCAACAAGATATCCGTAATATGCACCTACTCTTGGCAAGATGTATATGACCATTAATTCCTCTTCTTTCTAGTTGTTATATCCTAAATGGCTAAATCATGTACTGCTCCATGTTCACAATTAGCCAGCAAGCTGGAAGAGGAACTTGATGGTTGGCTTTCGGCAGCTGCTCTCACGAAGTCACCTGATGTTAGGGCCGTAATTGCACCGTAAGTTGATGTTTATTGTATGGAGGTGGAATTCTGTTCACGACTGTTCTGTAATACCAATAAGCTTTACTTTCCTTGCAGCCATGCTGGCTATTCGTACTCAGGGCGATGTGCAGCTTATGCTTTTGGCAACATTGATCCAACTAACATGTGAGTTAAGCAATTTCGGGCTGTTGTTTCCTTTGCTAAAAACAAACAAATACTTTTCTCTCTGAATGTTTACAGTACTAATATTGCTATATACTACTGTATGATATTTACTTGTTAGCTTGTTTGTTGGTTTGACATGGCTAGATAAGTAGTAGAAAGCACCATTATATGCAGGCATAAGAACTATATGTAAACTGTATACTATGATGCACTTTTGTCCATTATAACCAAATATAATGCATAGTATACTTCTCAATAGTAAACTAAAAAAAATCCATAAAAGTGTTTTTTTTGCTTTCTAACAATTCTAAGCTAGAAACATTATAATGAACTCTTTAGAATTATAAAAGGTCACTAGAAAAGTAAGTCGACATAACATATTTACAAAAGATATCATACCTTACCTGATAAAGTAACACAAACTAATAAGTTAAACTAATTAATTCATCAGATTTTTATGCTGTACATTGTGCATAATTTAAAAGCATGGGTCCAACTATAAATCTAAACTGATGCTAACCACATCACTGGTAAGCTACTTTTGTTCTGCCAAACGTGTACCCTTAATATTCGTTATTCCCACCCTACATGCTACAAAGGACAATCTTCTAGTTCCATTGTTATAACTGGCTTCTTTCCTCACATTTTTTCCTTAATCCTGTTCAGTATCTAATTCCTAATTTTCTTCATGTGAATCAGTTCTCGGGTGTTTCTGCTCGGCCCATCTCATCACTACTATACTCCAAAATGTGCTCTGTCAAGAGCTACTGTTTATAGCACCCCGATTGGGGATTTACCAGTAGACCTGGAAGGTATCATGCTTGCAAAATTAAGATGCCTAAGTTATTTCTTTAATATTCATATCAACCTTTCCATGTGAATTTCTAATCTGGAAAAGTCCACTTTTCAACCCTAAACTTGGTCAAAAGCTCACTTTCTAATCTGGATTTGAACTTCAATTTGTTGTAACCGTCCAGACTTCAACCTCGATCCAATCAGGGGTGGTATCGAGCTGATGTGTCGCGACGTGTATGCCAGCCTGAATCTACCTCATTAGTAAAATCAGTGGGAAGAGCTGACAGGTTGAATTG